AACAAATTATATATTTAGTAGTTTTTAATGTGATAATTTAATTACTATTATTATTTAAATTATTTATTGGAGAAATTTAAATATTTCAACTTTAGTACTTTTAATAATTCTAAAATAAATCAATTTTCATTTATTTTTATTACAAAAATAAATTAATTTTAAGAATCATAATGATAAATTGTTTTAGTGATTCTATTTTGTAATTCAATTGCTTTGCATCATAAAACAAATATGAAAATTCTGTTGAATATTAATGTTTGGAATATATTTAAAACATATTGGGTTCTATAATTCCAATAAGATCAAATTTAAAAATCTCTATAACAGATGATTAATAAATAATATACATTTCTTAAGATGGTTAAATAATAAGAATGTAAATTTGATTATAGTCATTAGTGATAAACTAAATAATTAAAATCCTATATTGCTGGCAAATATAATACAAATTAAGCATCTTCAATGGGTTGGGTATCGTAAGAATTTGAAAAAAATTGGTTATTGGGTAGCTACATTATAAGGTTAAGCTTTATTAGGTGCAGGGGGATATTATTCTAAAGATGGAAAAAAGTAAGGGGAGTGGTCAGATTTAATTTGGAATTATTAAGAGTAGAACTTAATCATACTTTTGTATTAGTATATCTAATGTATATGAAATTGGAATATATAATAATGATGTTAGATAAGGAGTTTGGAAATATAAATATTAAAATGAATTAATGTAACTATTTATTTGCTAATACAATAAGCAATGGAGGAATATATGATCAAAAAGGATTCAAATAAGGGTCATGGATAGATTTAAGTTAACAATTTTGGGAGTATTAAAATTGAATAATATAATAGTTTTAGTTAAGTAATATATGTAGGTTAATATAAAGATGGTTTAAAAATTGGGAGATGGAATATAAATTATAGAAAATAAAATTATAAGCAATTTTAAATAATGTATTTTGTAGAAATATTTTAATTTAAGTGGTGGTGGATAATATTAAAATCAGGGATTCAAGACTAATAAATGGATAGAATTGAGCAATAACTTTTGGGAGTATTAATTATTATTTTAATTCTTATAAGTTAAAGTTAGGTCATATATAAAGGTGAGTATAAAAAAGATTTAAAAGTTGGTCTATGGGAAATTTTTTATGGTAGAAACTTTGCTGAAATTATTTAACTAATGTAGATGAAAGATATATAATTAAAGTGGTTAAGGGTTATTTGATGAATAGGGTTAAAAAAATGGTTATTGGATAGAACCATATTTTAATTTTTATCAGTACTCAAATTGTAGATGATAAAATTAGATTTTGTTATGTAAGCTATAATGGATAGTATTAAAATGGTAAAAAGATTGGGTAATGGCTTATTACTTATAGAAGAGATCATAATAAAAAATAAGAGATTATGTAATTTAATTATTAAAATATTTTAGTGGAGGTGGATATTACAGCAATTAAGGTTTAAAGGTTGGTTATTGGACAGATTTGTGTAATTGTTTCTACCTGTATTAAATATATTAGATATTTATGATATTAGTTACAATGAGATAATTTATTAAGGGTATTATAGAAATGGGTTGAAGAATGGTTTTTGGGAAATAAAAAATAGGAGAGATAATATTGAATATTTTGAGAGAATGTAAGAATATAATATTTTAATGATTAGAGGAGGTGGATTTTATGATGAATAAGGAAGAAAAAATGGGGAATGGATAGATTTGACAGACAATTTCTATCAGTATAAATTTATACATAAAATATAATATTTAATTAGGAACATTACTTATTGTGGCATATATTAAAATGGTTAAAGGATTGGTAAATGGGAAATTAATCATAGGAATGGCATTGATAAACCAAATATTATATAGTAAACACTTAATTATATATTTAAGTGGTGTAGGATAGTATGATGACAATGGTTTTAAGAATAATAAATGGATAGATTTAAGTGATAAGTTCTATTTGTAGTTTTATTTGAGAAATTATTGATAGATAAATTACATATGATGGTGAATATCAAAATGGTAAAAAGATTGGCTTATGGAATACTAATTATAGTAGAACAAAAGTTGAACCACCTGAAATAATGTAATTATACAATCTAAATATTTCTAGAGGAGGGGGATAATATGATGATTAGATGTTGAAAAATGGTAAATGGATTGAATTAAGCGATAATTTTTGGGAGTAATTATATTTTACAAACTATTAGATATTGTTAAGTTTCTTATAATGGGATTTATAATAATGGTAAAAAGTTTGGTTAATGGAATATAAATTATAGAGAAAATGGATAGATTAAATTTTATAAAATGTTTGAAATTTATATTTAAATTACTTAAGTGGTGGAGGTATCTACTAACAATAAAGTTTGAAAGATGGGGAATGGGTTGAAATAAGTGATCATTTTCAGGAGTACTAAATATTTCATTCTTACATATTAGAGATCGTTAAGTAGTATATATAGGTGAATATAAAACTGGTTTAAAATTTGGTAGATGGAATACCCTTTACAGGAAAAATTCTGAAAACCCATTTTAACATATGTAATAATTAATATAACGATCTTAGAGGAGGTGGATCATATGACAATAATGGGTTATAAATAGGTAAATGGATTGAATTAAGTCAAAATTTCTAAGAGTATATAAAATTTTGTGAAAGTGTAGAAATTTGTAAATCTTCTACAAAGGGGAGTTTATAAAAGGTTAAAAGATTGGATTATGGGACACTATTTATAGAAAAAAGAAGGATGGTTAATTAGAATTAATGTAAATTAAACTCAATACCCTTAGTGAATATGGATTATATGATTACATTGGTTAAAAAAATGGAAAATGGGTTGAGTTGAATTTTGATTTCTAAGAGGATAATTAAGTTATATGTATTGGAGAATATAAAAAAGATTATAAATATGGAAAATGGAAAACGAAATAGAGAGATATCACCAATATGAATGAAGGATTTGAAAAAATGTAATGACAGTTAAAATTAATTAATTTAGTGGTGAGTAATATTATTATTGATATTAAATTCGTATAACAAAAGTTAATTTTTATTAATAATGAATTTATCTATTTAAATTATTGTAATGCTTCAAAAAGTGAAATCTTATGAATTGAATAATTCAAAATAAAGAAATTTCATAAATTCATTGATTTTCATTAAATTCAAATATCTTTATTTAAATTCTTATATTTGCTATTTAAAAATATTATAAATTTAAATTTAATTCTATATTTATCAAACTTTATTATTTGTATCAAACTAAATTCTGCTTATCATTATAATCTAGATATCAATTTACAAATTCTATTTACGATTAATTGTTAAACATGAAAAGATTGTTTAATTAGAATCACAAATATAAGAACTCCTTAATTTCATTTAGTATTTCCATAGATTAAGTTTATCTTATGATGAATGAAAATTTTAAAATTATAAAATTTTACTTCAAATTTAATCCTAATATCTGAAATATTCTGATTTAAAATGAAACAATAATATTTTTACTTTTTTGATTCAAGAAAATATATATCTAATTGATATTCATCTCTGAAATAAAAATAAATGTTGTAATAATTTTTTAATATAATTTGATTTTTTTATTATATTTAATTATATTTCATTTATATTATAATTCATATGAAGAATATCCTCCTTTATGATCATCCCAAAATAATAAATATTTTCCATCATCTGTAATAGTTCCAAAGATCCATTTTGTATTGCAATTTAATTCATTTTAGATGATAAGCTTTCCATTGATTTCCTTGATG